AAATCAAATCGGGACAACAACAGGACCCGGAACTAGATAAAATCCGCCACGACCTAACTCGAGGGAAAGAGGGCCCCTTCGAAGCACACCCGGACGGCAGCCTCCGCTACAAAGGGAGGTGGTGTGTACCCTCAACGCACCCCCACTTGAAACAGCGGATCTTGGAGGAAGGACACAACTCCCCTTACTCCGTCCACCCAGGCGGTGACAAATTATACCAAGACGTAAAGAAATCGTTTTGGTGGCCGAATATGAAAAAGGAAATCGCAGACTTTGTGGCCAAGTGCCTGAATTGCCAAAGGGTAAAAGCCGAATGATGCAAACCCAAGGGACTCGTACAACCCCTTGAAATACCACAAGGAAAATGGGATTCCATATCCATGGACTTCGTTGGAGGGCTACCTCCAACGAAAACCGGTAAGGATAAAATCTGGGTCGTAGTGGATCGACTAACCAAGACGGCGCGATTCATTGCCATGAAAGAAACATGGACGATGACGCAACTAGCCCAAGCTTACGTAAACCGGGTAGTGAAATACCACGGAGTTCCCCGAAACATTGTGTCCGACCGAGATTCCAGGTTCCTCTCGCAATTCTGGAAATCACTACAAGCGGCGTTGGGGACGCAACTAAAGCTAAGCACAGCCTTTCACCCCACCACAGACGGCCAAACCGAAAGAACCATCCAAACCCTCGAAGACATGCTAAGAGCCTGCACGCTCGACTTCCGAGGGACGTGGGAAGAACACCTAGACCTCATCGAGTTCTCGTACAACAACAGCTACCACGCGAGCATTCGCATGGCACCATACGAAGCACTGTATGGTCAGAAATGTAGAACCCCATTATGTTGGGAAGATATGGTCAACCCGGTAACACTGGGCCCCCAATACCTACAAGACACCATAGCTAAGGTCGAACACATCCAGGAAAGGATGAAGGCCGCCCAAGACCGCCAGAAGTCTTACGCCGACCTAAAGAAGAAGCAAGCCGAATTCAACCTCGGGGACAAGGTCTGGCTAAGGATCTCGCCCACACGAGGGGTAATGAGGTTCGGGAGAAAAGGAAAACTCAGCCCCCGGTTCATCGGCCCTTACGAAATCGTGGAGAGAATCGGAGACTTGGCCTACCGTCTCGCCTTACCCGTCGAGCTAGAACGAGTACACAACGTGTTCCACGTATCTCAGCTAAAGAAATACATACACGATCCAAGCCACGTACTCCAACACGAGACCGTGGATCTCGACGAGTCACTAGTATACAAAGAGAAACCCGTAAGAATCCTGGACACCAAGACAAGAAATACCAGGAACCGAGTCATGGAAATGGTGAAGGTTCTCTGGACCAACCACGGGACCGAGGAAGCCACATGGGAACATAAGGACACGATGAAGGAGCGGTACCCCGAGCTGTTCACGCCAGGTAACTAAGAGAAAACTTTCCTTTTTTCGTCACCCAGGGCCAAGCTTCGGGGACGAAGCTTCCTGTTAAGGGGGGGAGAGTGTAACACCCCGTGTTACGAATCCTAAAACCAACTGATTAATTAATTAATTAATAACCCAGGAGAAAGAATAAATTATAATGATTAATTAGGGAAAAAGGCCACCATAGCCCATGGGCCCAATTATATAAACCCAACCCCTAACCCCAATAGGATTAAACTCTAAATAAACCCTTGGATCTATAAATAGGGAACTTAGGGAGCACCTAGAACCCCCACACGCCTAGACGCCCCATCACCCCAGGAGAGCTCCAAGAATTCCCTTAGAAGAAATCAAGAAAGCAAGAAAGCTTAAAGAAAGATCCTTCATAGCCAAGGAATTAATTAAGGCTAAGAGGTAACCCATGTCTCAACAAAACCTATTTTCATAGCTATGATTTCCCCCTTAGGGTTTTCCCCCGTATGATTGTGAATGGCGAATTACTATGATTATTGTTGATGTTGATTTAATGATTCCATGGGGAATCTTGATAATCTTGATATTGGGAGTTTCTTGATAATTGTGATGTTCTCGATGATTAATTGGGATTCTTGATGATTATGTGTTGTTCTTGATTATGATGTTCTTGATGATTAATTGGTATCCTTGATGATTATGTGTTGTTCCTACCGAATCTTGCAATTAGAAGACGAATCGTATTCTTGTTGATATAAAAGTGATTAGAACCCTAGGTTATACCGTATGCTTTGATTCTTGGATTATCGGGTGGGAAATCGCATGTTTGGGTGTTGATTATGTTTAGAAAAGCATGATAGGCCATGTGCCGTTCGTTTCCCGTATTTGATCCGTTAACTATCTACTCATTGTTGTTAATTGCGTTGTAAAGTGTCTAAGCATGGTTTCGGGTTCCACAACTGTTCCCGGGGCGAAAAGTGATGAAAAGAGTCAGTGGGGGGTAGGGGACCCGCCACCTACCCGCGGCATTCTCGGGCAGCTCCGGCAGCGGGCAGCCGGCGGGCGGGCAGCTGCCCGGAACAGTGGCAGCCGGCGGATGGACCCCCACCCACCGGCTACCCGCTGGAAAGTGCACTACCTCGGGCTCCCGGCTTCCCCGTTTGATGTTTCCCCGATCCCCGTGGTGTCCCAACGGACCCCGTTTGTCGTGCCTATGTCTAGTTTGATGTTTCGGGTACCGTTCGGAGGTTTATGAAGTCTGTTATATCGCATGCTAGTTGAATTCGTATCCCGGTGATCTAGGTGAAGGAAGTATGAACCCCTTAGGGCCATTCTTAGTATGTGATGGATCACGCATAGGGTTGTTATACGCTTTATCCCCCTTCCCGATGTGTAACGTGGGTTGTATGTGCTTGCTATGTGTTATGTGTGTGTGCTACCCCAATTCGGTTGCGATCGGATTGGTTATCCTGAGCTGCGGTTCAGAAGCTGGCTGCGGTCAGATTGGTATTCCTGGCTGCGGTCAGATGACATTCTCTTGGGCTGCGGTCCACCGTTTGGTTGCGATCAAACGTTTCTATACGAGCTGCGGTTCGTCCTTTATCCTGGCTGCGGTCAGATGACACTCTCTTGGGCTGCGGTCCACTGTTTGGTTGCGATCAAACATTATGATGAGCTGCGGTTCATCGGTCGGTTGCGATCGACCTCCCCGTGTTGCGATACGGGGCATGGTGCTGCGGGGCTGTGTCAGAGCTATATGCGTTGACCCTCATGTATGGGCATGCGATCGGTCCCGTGGCGCCAACAATGTGCGTTATGTGTGTGATATGGCGAGTTGTGACTATGAGTGCCTTGGGACGTGACTATGGGTTTCATATCGGGGATTGTTTATGATGGGATTATGATTACCGTTTATGCCTTGTCGTAACTGCTTTATCTATTGTGAAATGCTTATGCTTGCTATGTCTACTGCTGGCGTCTAGCCTTAACTGTTGAGTCATTCCCGGTTTTAAAGCTAGAGTTCGTAGGATATATCTTCATGTTCATAATGGTTTTCGTATATCTATATATATCTCTATATGTATTGTATTTCAACGCGTTGGAGTGGGTTACCAGCATCTCTCGCTGAACAGATATATTTGGCTTTCAGGCACAGAAGAATAAGTCACTGGAGCGCGCTAGAACTCGGAACGTAGAAGTAGATAGTTCCCTTTTTCGGCCTGCGTGCCATGTTATGCATTTACATTATTGAGGATATTAGTTAGTTAGCCTGTGCACCTGGGTTCTCTAGCTCAGGTGTGGCATAGCACCCCGTACACTTGTAGTACGTCTTGGGATCTAATGAGATAATACCTTTATTTTATAAGTTTTAAATGTCTTGAAATTCTGGGGTGTTACAGATAGCTTACGCCTCGCGATAGCTTAAAGTGCACGAAGAGAACTACCCCATGCATGGTTTAGAGTTAGCAGCCGTAGTTTTCGCCTTGAAGATTTGGAGTCATTATCTATACGGTGTGCATTGTAAGATCTTTACGGACCACAAGAGCCTCAAGTATATCTTCACAGAAAAGGATCTCAACATGCGTCAATGACTGTGGTAGGAACTCATCAAAAACTATGAGTTGGACATACAATACCACGAAGGGAAAGCAAATGTTGTGGCGGACGCTCTAAGCAGGAACACCAAACATGCCGTTAGTTCCATTTGGGTAGTGGCTGACGAGCTTTGCAAGGAATTCCAAAGGATGAACCTAGAAGTGGTGGAACAAGGTGAAGTCGAGATGCCCATCCTTCAACTCATCAATCAACAAATTATCCTCATCATTTCCCAATGACTTCAACTTCAAATGCCTATCCTTCAACTTTTTGTTGTACAAGATGTAAACCAAAGCATTCATCCTTGCCGTGGTCAAACGGTTTCTTCTTTTGGTGTGCACTTGATTAAATGCACTCTAATTGCGCTCACATCCAGAAGAAGAACAAGTGAGACCTAACACTTTAATGGCAAAATTTTGAAGCTCGGGATTGCCATCTCCATATTGAGTCTACCATTCAACTAAAAGAATAATAACAATATAACATTAAGTATTTAAATTTACTATAAATCTATAATTAACACTCATATTTAACTATTTAAACTTTAATTACCGGGACTTCGCTTGTAGAGTGTGTTTTTAGCTTGAGTCAACCCAAAGAATCCTTGTTGAGCGTGGAAAGCACTACATTGTACGTCAGCTTTCTCCATTTCATCTGCGTTGGGTATGAGCTTCACTAAACAATCTAATAAGCCACGTTTGATCTCAACATGTGTAGAAAAACCAGGAGCATAATGGCAACGGGGATTTAAAAAGTAAGCAGCTGCATGCAAATCTCGGTGCATCTGAATCTCCCATTTTTGATCAATGAGATCCCATATCTCCTTATAATCCTTTTCTTCTCCTCCCAAGTTCTTGGCTATCTTTTCCTTTGCTTCATCCATAGCATTGTAAAGAAAACACATTGCAGGCTCTTTTTCTCCATCTACTAGCCTCAATACTTCCACCAAAGGCTTTGTAGTCTTGATAGCATAGATTAAACTTGGCCAAAAGTTGTTATCCCTCAAAATTATTCTTCTAATTTCCTTCCCATCAGCTTTGTTGTGTAATTACTATTTGTCCACTTTTCAGAAGTGAACATAGCCTCCAATGGTTGCCTCACTTGATAAATACTTTGTAATGTCAAGTATGCAGTGGCAAATCTAGTAGCTGCTGGCCTTATAAGCTCTCGGTTAGTGAATTGCCTCATCAAGCTCAAAACCCAAGAATGATTATGAATGTAGTTGCTCACTTTCTTTGCCTTGATCAAAGCATTTTTGTCTTGTGGTAGCTCTCCAATTTTTTCTAGCATTAAATCAAGGCAATGTGCAACACATGGAGTCCAATACAAATGCTTCCTTTTCTCCATAAGCATCTGTCCCGCTGCCCGGTAGTTGCTTGCATTATCCGTTATCACTTGAACCACAAGCTCTTCTCCAACTTCCTCAACAACTTCATCAAGCAACCGAAACAACAATTTAGCATCTTTCACATGCTCGGATGCATCAACACATTTCAAAAAAACTGTACCACTAGGATTATTGACAAGGAAATTAATTAGACTCCTATATCTAATATCTTGCCAACCGTCAGACATGATTGAAACTCCGGTAAGTGGCCAGGTGCTCTTAATGTCATCAACAATTTTTGTTGTTGTTGTCAACTCTTCCTTTAATATCCAAGTCCTAAGGTTGTACATGCTTGGAGGCTTAAATCCCCAACCATATGCGCCAACCGACCGAAGCATGTTGACAAATGAAGGACTCCTTGCCACATTAAAAGGTATTGCATTCTCATAAAAAAACCTCCCGATGTCTAAACAAACTTGGTTACGAAGTTCTTTTGCATTCTGGGGTGTAATTGTGGTTGGTTGGTCCCCACTAGAACTTTCTTTCATCATGAATCTATCCATCGGTCCCCGGATACCTCTAGTAGAGATAGAACCAGAACCAGAAACACCGGAAACCACATTGTTTCCATCATCACCTTCAACTTCCCTCCCGCTTCCAAAGTATGAGCCAACGTCCACACGTTGCTCAAACTCCATCTGTGCTAAATTCTTGGAGGCTTGAACTTTGTTTAATATATCAACAAATTTTTGTTTCACTTCTGTTGATACATTGTCACAAGGCTTGACATTTTTCTTTGTTCCGGCGAGATGATGTTTCATCCGTGCCACTCTGCATGTGATGACTTTCTTGCAGTAATTGCATACCACATATTTGTATGATCTTTTTTCTTGACCATCCTCAACAAGTTCAACACAATGATCCCAAGCTGGATCTTTTTTATTCTTTGAACTGGTAGACACTCCAAGATTGCCTAAACCACTTCCTGCACTACTCTTTTTTGAGTGGTTCACCATTTCTAAACAATCAATCTTTCAACCTACAAATAATTATAATATTCAACACATTAATATTTGAAAAAAAAACATATCACAAATTTGAAGTGCCTACTGCCTACTGCCTATATCACAGTGCATATACTAAGTATACTGTATACTACTGCCAAAAAAACATATCACAAATATTATTTATATTACTTATATACTTATATACATTATACATATATATAATACTCTAACAAGTAACAACACTACTCAGCTTATTAGTTTATCCAAAAAAAAAAAATGAAATAACATGAGAAATCAGAAATGACGCATCATTGCATCACCTGTCGTTGGAGGGTTGGAGGTCGCCGGATGGGGGAGGTCGCCGGATGGTGGAGGTCGCCGGAGGGGGAGGTCGTCGGAGGGGGAGGTCGCCGGAGGGAGGAGGTGGCGTCGCACGGTGAGTTCGCACTTCGCACTTCGCAGTCTTCCGCAAATCTCACTTCCCATTTCTTTTCTTTGAATTATTACACTTCTGAATTCTAATTTTAGTCTAGGGTTGGGTCATTGGGTCGGATTTTATTTTTTGTATTGGGCTTAAACAAATAACATCTAAAAGGCCTATAAAGCCTCACTTCACGCCTCAGACACGCCCTGAGGCGTGCCTGAGGCGTACGCCTCTATGGCCTGAGGCGTCTGCCTCTAACATTGCCTGAGAGGCGGACGCCTCAGGGCTTAGTCGGACCGCCTCGCCTTGAGGCGTACTGAGGCACGCCTTTTTAAACCATGGCAGGAAGTAGGAGGATCAAGTGATATGGGTGTTCACTAAATTGAGGCAATATCCAATGTGATACCCGAAATATCACGTACAACCGAAATTGCCCCCAAAATTCAGGAAGAAGAAATTCCAGTAGATGAACAAGAAAATGTACCCGTCAACAATTCGCAACAAATGGATTCACACCAAGTGACTTTGCAACAAGAAGGAAACTCTGAGAATCCAATGAGCTTTCAACCAAATCGAAAATGACTAAGAAGCCACACACATGACTTAGTCATTGGAGATCCGAGGGACGGAGTGAAAATGCGATCATCTACTAGGAACCAACAACAAGATGCAATGTTCTCATGCTTTCTATCACAACTGGAGCCAAAAGAAATTGATGAAGCTTTAGCCGTTCCAAGTTGGATAGATGCCATGCAAGAGGAATTAGATCAATTCAAGCGCAACGACATATGGAAACTTGTTCCAAGACCAACGCACCAAAATGTAATTGGCACTAAATGGGTCTTTAGTAACAAAGCAAACGAAGACGGCGTCATTGTTAGGAATAAAGCAAGATTAGTTGCGAAGGGGTATTCACAAGAAGAAGGCATTGATTTTGATGAGACATTCGCCCCCGTCGCATGGCTCAAAGCGATCCGGATATTCCTAGCATATGCAGCGCACAAGAATTTCATTGTTTATCAAATGGACGTAAAGAGCGCATTTCTTAATGGCTTACTTGAAGAAGAAGTTTACGTCGAACAACCACCCGGTTTTGAGGTAAAAGACGTTGGTGATCAAGTCTACAAATTAAAGAATGCATTGTATGGATTAAAACAAGCTCTGCGAGCTTGGTACGACACCTTATCGATGTTCTTAATTAGTTGTGGATTCACCAAAGGTCTAGTCGATAAAACCCTCTTTAGAATTCAAGAAAACAATCACATTTTATTAGTACAAATTTATGTTGATGATATTATCTTTGGAAGTATTGATAAATCTTTATGTGAGAAATTTTCTAAGCTCATGCAGAATAGGTTCGAGATGAGTATGATGAGAGAATTAAATTATTTTTTGGGACTGCAAGTCAAGCAACTTGAAGAAGGAATTTTCATAAATCAAGCCAAGTACACAAGAGATCTTATCAAGAAATTTGGCATAGATGGAAAATCCTTAGTCAAAATTCCCATGAGTACATCTCAAAAATTGGATAAAGATGATGAAGGAAAAGACGTCGATCAAACGATGTATCGAGGGATGATTGGATCGTTACTATACTTAACCGCAAGCAGACCGGACATATCCTACTCGGTTGGCGTATGTGCAAGATTCCAATCTAAGCCTAAATAAAGTCATCTGATTGCAACCAAGAAGATAATTCGATATCTCAAAGGAAATATCAATGTGGGATTATGGTATCCCAAAGAAGGAGATTTTACACTAACTGGTTACTCAGATGCATATTTTGCAGGTTGTAAAATAGACCGAAAAAGTACCTCAGGGACATGCCAGTTCTTAGGAGGAAGATTGGTCTCTTGGTTCAGCAAAAAGCAAAACTCCATAGCTACGAGCACTGCCGAAGCCGAATATATTGCAGCTGGGAGTTGTTGTGCACAAATCTTGTGGATGAAGCAACAATTATTGGACTATGGGATTAAGTGCGAAAATGTCAGCATTTTATGCGATAATACTAGTGCAATCGCTATAACCCAAAATCCGGTGCTTCATTCGCGAACCAAGCATATCGACGTTCGACACCATTTTATCCGAGACCACGTCAAAAAGAAAGATTTAAAAATCGATCATGTTCCCACGGAGAATCAAATTGCCGATATTCTCACAAAGCCATTGTGTGAATCTCGTTTTGCGACTCTAAGGCATGAAATGGGAATGATCGAAATGAGCTAAGCAATTTCTAAACTCTTTATTTTTGATTCGCACTGTGCATGTTGTATGTGATTTATGTGATCTACGTGCCTTATTTTATTTTTGTACGTGTGATATATGTTCAGTTGTGTACAATATTTTCGTCAAATTTATATGTACCTAAATGTGCTATAATCTTATCTTATGAAAGTTGCGTACCTGTGTTACGGATGGCTATTTATTTTGTCACGTTAATTTGTGTAATTTATTTGCCTAATTTGCTTATTTGATTTAAGTTTAGTATGCAATTTAGGGGGGAATAAATATTCAATTGGGTTAATTCTGTTGAAATAGTATATGTTTAAGGGAAATTTAGATTTTATGTGCCCAATTGGGTTTGCATGTTAAAGAAGTTTATTCTGATGAAAGTTTGTCCATAATATGGAAATCAATTGTCAAAAAGTTAGGCCCATATACAAAGTCAATTGTTTTTAATGTTTTGGGAACTTGAAATTTCTTTTCAGATATTAGGTATCTGTCTGATCAATTTATTTTTATCAGGTTTCTTTTCAGAAAATCAGCTTTATTGAAATATGAATTTGAGATAATAATATTTATCTGGAGTATATTTTTTGTTCTAACAGATTATTTTTGAGATTTTTTTTATCTGATTTGCTCCAGGTTGGCGGTTATTTGAAGCACAATTTTTGGCACCATGTACTCACAAATGGAGTATATAAATCTGAGCTGGCAAATTTAAATCATGTGGAAGGTCGATTTTATCCTCAAAGAGATCAATACTCTCTCTCTACCCATTAGAGGGCAAAGGAGTAATTTCGCACTTGTTCTCCCTCAATCCTAACGGATAGAAGTGGAGACCCAATAAGGACACAAGTCTTCTTCATCTTCCTCTCTCGCCGGCCGGATTCTTCGAACAACAAGAAGCCTAAAATCATCCAATGCTTAGACGCCTATCCTAAATCTTTTACATAAATTTCTTTCACACACAAAAACCCATCACCCAAACCCAAAATCTTACCCAAATATCCTCTCAATCCAAATACACATTCCCTCTACCCATTTTCGGACTTCACCGCCGAAATAGCCCAAATTTCACCCAAAATTCCAAAACACAATTTCTACTCAATGGATGTTAATCAAGTGGAGATGGAGACAATAACCACCGGAGGAACAAGGAAGTCTAGCCGTGTGCTCAGTGGAATGATCCTTGACGTCACCGACTTCAACAAACAAGTGGAGGACAAATCCATTGGGGTAAAAATTATCAACTCTCTTGAATCTTGTGGGTTGTTAAATTTTTGCACCTTTAGATATGTTGGATTTTATAAAGATGAGGTGACCGAATTTTACATGCATGCTAGAATAGAAAATGGCTCAATTATTTCTATGATCAAAGGAGTTGATGTAGAAATAAAACTCGATGATTTTCGGAGAATGTTCAATCTTGTTGAAACAAGTTTAAGGGTAGAAAATTATGTGCATGATGTTAATGCCATTTGGGCCAAGATTCGCGATGCAAACGCACCGCTAACTCCGAGGATTAACGGAAACAAAAAGGATTTAAAGAAAGACTACGGGTTATTGTTGGATATTGTGCATAAATGTGTAGAGTCCCGGTATCATTGCCGTGACAAGTTGTCGGGGGATAAATTGTTGATTATGGATATTATCTTGAACAATGTTTGTGTGGATTGGGGTGCTTTTATGTTTGGGAGGTTGTGTGAGTCTTTGAAGAAAGCAAAGCCCTTGGTGGATGGATGGTTTCAACAGGAGATTGGTAACGGGTTTGCAATTGGTGAAATTTTAAGGACTAAAAATGTTACCCTTTCCAAAGCCAAACACATCACAAACCATAGCTATCTCTTTCGGCCACCCAACACAAATGAACCAAAAAATTCTACCTTACCCACAAGCCTACCAAAACCCACCCGAAAAAGGAAATTGCCTAACCCCTTCCAAGACCTTAAACAGTTTATCCGAGAACCAAGCCATGAAGGATCAAACACCCATGCCGTCCGATCCAACGAAGAACAATCAAGCCACCCAATCTCAAGACCCTTAACCATTCAAAACCCGAACCCAATTATCCTTGAAAGTCACGGGTTAGTTGAGGAAAATAGAGTGGAAGTTGATGTTGTTGTGAGTGACATAGTTGAAGTTGGAAGTGATGATGAGATATCAACAA